GAACCAGTTCCACTGGCAGCCATACATGGCCATGACATAACAGTACCTCCACCATGCTTCACTGATGAGGTGGTGTGCTTTGGATCATGAGCAGTTCCTTCCCTTCTTCCTTCTCTTGTCTTCCCATCATTCTGGTAGTTGATCTTTGTTTTATCTGTCCATAGTATGCTGTTCCACAACTGTACAGGCTTTTTAGATGGTTTTTGACAAACTCTAATATGGCCTTCCATTTTCAAGGCTAACCAATGGTTTACATCTTGTGATAAACCCTCTGTATTTATTCTAGTGAAGTCTTCTCTTGCTGACAAGAGCAGCAGGATGAAAGCTGAAGTGTTTGGGGCTACATTATCTGCTCAGATTCAATCAAATGCTTCAAAACTCATTAGACGATGCTTCACAGTGCAGTTGGACAATGACCTGAAGCATACTGCAAAAGCAACCAAAAACATTTTTAAGACAAAGAAAAGGAATGTTCTGTGATGGTCAAGTCATATCATCTGATCTGAATCCAATTGAGTGTTGTTGATTGTGTGTGTGTGTATAGATTAAACATGACTGGGCCAAAACGGACATGGCAGCAAGTCCAGATTAAATACAAGAACATCCTGCAGAATGGTAAGTGCCCTGACTAATACTTAACAATGCACAAGCATACATTGTACCCAGAAGGTGCCTGCTCACACATTGTCTGTACTGTTTTAGCAGTCAAAAAAACACAAACCCACAAGCAAGGCACCGGTGGTGGGTCACCATCAGCTGACCTCACCCCAGCAGAGGACATAGCCTTGGCACAAAACAAAGGCAGGCCTGTGTTGGAGGGGATCCTTGGGGGGACAGACACAAACATATGTCCCTCCCAAGATGCCACCCGCTTCATACAAGGTACATTTTTCCATCTCTACATGGGACATACATTCATATCGAATCCATCTGGACTATCTGACAGCACTGTCACACTGTTGGAGCCACCAACACCAACACACATCATGGCTGTGTCAAGAATGTCACTCTATGAGGTTGTGATGATGAGATTTTGTATTGACAGTTGAATTCTCTGGTGTGTTGCTGGGGGACAGGGGGTATGCCTGCCAGCCTTTTCTCCTCATACCATACACAGACCCTCAGGAAGCACAGCAGGCCTATAATCATACCCATGCCAGGACAAGGGCTAGGATTGAAATGACCTTTGGCCTCCTGAAGGCACGCTTTCACTGTCTTCACCACTTAAGGGTCAGCCCTTTGAGGGCATGTGACATCACTGTGGCCTGTGCTGTCCTCCACAATGTGGCCTGCCTGAGGAAGGAGAGGGCCCCCATCACACATGGACTGGGACAATCCTGCCATCTTCCCTGATGACTCCAGTGGTCAGCTGGTCAGGGACCAATATGTGTTAAATTATTTTAGTTAACATGCATGCTTTAAATTTAAGTTAAATATGTCCTGCAGTGGCAGAGACGCATGCTGTGAATTTCAGTTAAATATGGCCTGCATTGGCAGAGGAATTTGTGTTTTTTTTTATTCAATTTAAATTGATTTGGCCTCTTATGTTGGTTGTGCTGTATATTGTGTGTATATAAGCTTGCAGGGAGGCTACTGCATCCATTCATTTGTCTGTTCATTTGTTGTGTATGGATGTGTCCTGCATTTATTTCAGTGTGCAGACACGCGGGGTGTATCATATACAGACCTTTGAATGTGTATTTATTCTTGTGGTGTATAATATGCTTTGATTCCGTGCTTTCTATCTTGTAGAGTCACTGTGTGACTTCAGTTTTGAAAGGAGCTGATGGTTTACTTGCTTTGATTTATCCTTATTCAATAAAGGAACATCATGTTACTCTTTGATGTGTATTTATATTTATATGGGATGTGTATTTTATATATAGTCTATGGGAAACTGTAAATTATCTTATGATTGCAAAATCATCTAAAATCATCATTTATCTAAAATGATTGCAATTAATGATCACAAATGTTTAAATAATGACAGTGGGTCTGGTTGAATGTGATAACAATGTGCAATGGGCAGTGGAATAACTATTGGTTTCCGTTTGTGGTGACTGCTGACTGAGATAAGGGATGAGATTAAATAGATCCTGGAACTTAGCCTGGTCTGGAGCAGGCTAGCTCCACAGAATAAATCTCCATGGTAACTTATGTCATAACATATCCCGCTGTCCACTATCCCGCTTTTGTGCAACCAGATCACGGATAAATTGAGCCAGAATAACCAAGATATCCCGGCTTAATCCCTTATCCTAGTTTTGTGCAATAGGCCCCAGATCGTAAATGAAAAATTCAAACAAATATTAGATTAACCAATTGTCAAGCATTAAACGCCAACAGTGAACACAAGCACCTAGACCTGCTTGATCTATCCCTGTGTTTGTAGGCTTTTCATCTACATAGCAGCAGTGTTACTGATCCAAGGCCCATTTTTTTCAGTTTTTCATTTTAAAACAAAATCTGGAAATTTATTGGCGATTGAAATTTCAGACTTTAACAATACAAAAATACAATACAAAAACCCAGGTGAAAATCAGATAACAAAAATACTGTTTGCATCACAAGTACTCTATAGTTCAACAGCTGCACTATCAATATTTTTGTATAATCAGTAAGCCAGATGACTATGTAGTATGAAAGGGGTCACTCACAGTGACATGTCCACACAGAATTATAACCCAATATCCCCTCAGCTCTATGCACTGTTTAGTGTCTTTTCACTATTTAGATTTGACTGGTTTGGTTCAGCACTCTCATCAGACTTGTTATCAGCAGTATCCTGCAGGTTTCCCCACTGTACACTTCAGACTGGTCCAATTAGAGACTAACTCGTGAACATAGTGAAACATATGGCAGCTAAAGAGACAGATTCTTTTTTCCTCAAGAGCTGGTTTAGACCAAAAACAGAGCTTAAAGGAGAGAATGTTGGACTTAAGTTCATCAGGTTGCCATAGACATGACTCCTATTAAGGCTTAATGTTACTCTGTCTGCTGAATGTGTAATGGAGTAAGTTTACTAACATGTTAGCCAAATCAACTTCTCAAGGCCATATGTCAAACATTAGCATTTCTAGCTTGTTGATTAATGCAGCTCTAATTAATAATCAAAGTTATGGTAGTTATGCTAGCTACTAGTTAGTTATCAATGATTTTGGAGCTTAAGACAGCAGCTAACATAAGAACTGTTTTTGTCACTAGAAGACCTCATTTACTTGATGCAGGAAACAGTTTGAATGTGAATGGACATAAAATTCCTGTAAAACTCAGGTGTCAAACTGAACATGAGGAGCCTCATCCATGGTACAAGTCACAATAGGATCATTATGGGAGATCTGGGACAATGTCATCTCAGGGCCTGTGTCCACACAGTGTTTTTTTCTTCTGCAGAAAATTGGTGGCAGGTCACTGGAGAGTGTTTCATCCCAGCGCTGAGAGCACTTTTTTATTAGTGACACACTTGGGTGGATTTGTTTCTATGGCAACAATATCTTGACATTAACGTTAGCTAGGTAGCTAATGCAACACTACAATAACAGGGGGTTGATTACACAGTTAAAAACAAGCTTACAAAGGTACGTGATAAATGCACAACACTCACCAGCAACATTCAGTGTCAGCTTCTCGATCTGCTCCCACAAATGGGCTTTTCTGTCTTTGCTGTGACAGTAGCCTAGCTACAAGTGCAGCAGTGACATCACCCATGCATTTCTGTAAAGTTAAGAGATTTTTATCTAGAAGCAACTGGAGAAGCTGCACAAAAAAGCAAAGCGCTCTGAAAAAGATGCTGAGCACAACACTTTTTCTCTAGGCGCCAGCATGCAGCCACTTACACCCTCTCCTCATTGGGAACAATTTAAAAAAGACCTTGGCACTGAGAAGAAAAAAGAAAAAAAAAACACTGTGTGGACACAGGCCCTCAGTTGTCTACTTCACAAGCATTATTTTCTAGACAAGTCTTAGAATGCATCTATCAGTTCAAATACCATTTGCAGGGTGGGAAATTAACACCTGTGACCAGCCAAATACTAACATATATACTATGATCACTATCCCAGTCACTTTGGTAGATACTCAGTTTTTTGTCCAATAAAAACTAGGTTTGATAGGTAAACTAGTTACAGTGGTTTATTTATAAAGACCACCAGCCACTGTGGCCAGTGGCCAAAAAATTGGTTACCTTCCTGTTCTGGTCTTGCATGCTGGTACCAACAATCCGTATCAAAACCAAAGGAACTAGAGAGACCCCAAAGACAAATGCAGGTTACTGGTGATACAAAAGCCTGTTGATTCAAACAGGTTAGTAGCAACAAAAGGCAAGTTTGGATTTATGCTCTCATCCTTTACCTAGAGCCCAGTGAGGTCTACAATGGCCTTGATGAAGATGGTGTCATCTCGTATGTAGGAGTTCTTAGAGTCCAGCTTGGAGAGTGGACAGAAGAGTGGGCAACCACTGGCGATGTTCATATCACTGACAGGCCTCTGGAAGGACGAGGAGGAGATGTCGGGCCTGAAGGCATCAATGATGTGCTCCCTGTTGTTCTGGTCGAGCAGCATTAGGGTGACCTGGGTACAGATGTTAACACTGTAGCCTTACATCTGCTCTGACAGACCTACTAAGAACTTATAGTCTACAGCTTGATGATAATATCAGGTGTCATCAAGCTCTATTAACAGCGGATTAAAAATTAATAATGGATCATAGAAAGAGTAAATTAAATAAGTGAAAATATTGGTGCAATAACCCACAAAATGTGAAGCAAAGTATAAAAATAACATCAGAAGAAACCCTCATGGTACTTTTGGTTTTCAAAATTATTTCAAACTACAACTAAATGCAGCCAAATTAGCAACTGGCA